CGGAAGCCCAACATGTACATAAGCAACAAGCGCCGTGACTGACTCAATAGTTTAGATGAAGTTCTTGCTTGGTTTTTGAAGTAAGGTTGTTGTTGTTGTTGAGGTACTCGCACATGACGTGTAATGCATAATATTTTGAATGCGATTACAAATACTAATCAGCGATGCAACATGATCACTTCGTAAGAATACTGACGTCTTTGAACTATATTATCATAGTTGTTTATGTTAGCCGTGCGATGGTTAACCTAACCAAAAGAAAAGGTCTCTCGGGAGTATTACGCCTACCGGCCATTACCATATTTCCCTGGATTGATTACAAATGTTATTGTTAATGGCGGCTGTTGGCTAATTAGCCCGCCGTATCATTTCGCAGGTATTATCATGAGGGCAATTCCCTGTCAGAAGCCGACTGACTGGAAGCGACTGTAAGTGGTGGCGACAACATCGGCCAACCGACAATCTATCACCTTCTACAAAACATTTGCTTTCGTCCTAACATGGGCAGCAAACGTCACTTGACTGGGATTCCGCAACAAGCATTTTTACATTCACGTCTCTCTCTCTCTCTCTCTCTGCCTGTCATCGGTCATATTAAACGGAGGCCTATAGTGTGGTCACTACACACAGTCTGTGCAGGTTATGTGTAACGATCAGACCCCTTCAATTATGTGGAGAACCGCACAGCCATAAACCATGTGTATATCGGAATTTATCCCCAGTCGATATCGGCCGCCTGGTGTGAGGCTCACCGCAGCATCACCACGTAGCCCCCACCCTCTGTCGTCACTGAATAATGCCGGAATCCCTCATCGGCACGCTGGAATCCCTCAACGGCTCATAGTATTTGGCCGCCGGAATCCTTCATCGGCTCATCAGTGCGAAACTCGCCTCCTAGACTTGCTGGAATGATTCTAACAACGACACCCACAGAGACCGAATTCACTGCCGGTGCTAGGAGTCAGCAACTCATAGCCATCTTAGCAAACCCCGTTCTGTGGCCGCGTGCCAATTCACCAACGGAAAAAAATCAGCCAACTTTTCTGACACCCCAACGTCTCTCTCCGACTTCCGCCTTCTGGGAGACGTAAGAAGGCAGCTGAAAGGCAGCTCTCACGTTCTGCAAGTCGCGAATCCGTTAACGGTACCTTACACGTGCTACTGCCGCTCTCACTAGCGACCAGCGACGTGCAAAAACGCATCCCACCTCATCTGGGATTCCGTGTCCCAGATGTCCGTCCACCCGCGGTGGCTCAGTTGGTTGGAGCGGCTGCCCTCCGATCCAGCCGCCGCGGCGGGGTGGGTTCGGGTCGCTTTAGAGCGCTCGTTATTTGCCCTTGACGGTATGACCTGTGGCCGGTGGAGGCGATCGCTCTAAACGTCGGTTGACGTCAGAGGGCAGGACAGATCGTGCCGAGCATTGCGGCACGTTAAGCTTTAGCCGCTAAATTCTGCCGTTGCCTGGAATTGCGCGATCGGATGGTGGCGGTCAGGACTCACACAACAAGCACTGATCCCAGAAACCATCCATTCAAAGAGTTCGGATCAATTTTTTTTTTAAAGTCTATGAGTCTCGGAGAGATCGACCAACAGTCAACTCCCCAATTTCTGTAGGGAGTGGAACCTTTCAACTCATAGCTTGACAACTGCCTACGTACGGCGTAGGACGTTCTCCGTCGCTCCCTAGGACGTTCTCCGTCGCTGCGTAGGACGTTCTCCGTCGCTCCCTAGGACGTTCTCCGTCGCTGCGTAGGACGTTCTCCGTCGATCACCGCGGGGAGCCACACACAACCTAAAGCATCTGTGACGCATTTAGCCCGTCGTGACGAAAATCATCCGGATAAACTCCTGGAAAATTCACAGTCGTCTCAAGCTTTTCGTAATATATGAGCTATGCAAGATAAAGATATTAACGTCAAAAACTTGGGCCTAATTACGACGCGTCCTCTCTCATGCCACAATATTGAGACCGCACATGATCATGCATCATTGATCTGCGATTTTCCTACAGACTGTCCATTGAAACACATCGACCAACACCAGGCAAGGGTCAGTACGCCATCTAAGAACATACGTTAACGACATATTTGCATATTAGATATTCTGATTACTATAATATGGTGCAAGCAGGAGTGGAGTGTGCGACATATAAAATGAGGTGCGTGTACGTTAACTTAACATCCCTACAAAACTTTTGTGTTGAAGGTGCATCAATGCAACATCATGTTATTACACATAGAAAAGGGCCAGGGATTCCAGTGAGCCTCCAAAGTGTCGGCGATTTCGCTGCCGGGCTTATATTTTGCAGAGATGTAGGCGGCGAGCGCCCGGCCGTCGGCGCGCCAGGCCGACAGAGCTCCCAGCACCGTTGGCTCCACGATCGTGGCTCTCTCCGTCGGCGCGGCAGGCCGACAGAGAGAGCTTTGTCGCAGAGAGCTCTGTAGAGCTCCCAGCACCGTGGGCCCCACGATCGTAGCTGCCACTGTACTGTGCTGTACTCTCCGTGTACTCTTCTGCACTGTTGCTCCCTTTTGCCTCCGACGGGCTCGGCGTTTTTAAAGGGCCGCCCCTTGTCGATCGTCCTGGCGCGTATGGCCGGAACGAGCGGCCGGGCCAAACGTAACAAACAAAAACCGTACTCACGCATTGGAAAAAGCAGCGAGTGGCCCGCAGCGGATGGATACGACGCGCGCTACAAAAACAACTGAATTTCGAACCACAACAAATTCCATTGATCATTCATTTCGTCATTTTATTATGTCATGACCTTTTGTTCATCCACTCATTTATTGACACTGTTCCATCGCTATAAAGGTCAGACCGAGTTCAAAACTAATCTACTTTTTTACTCAACAGCTTGCTTCACAGAGTAATTTCCGGCACTCATTCAGAATTTATTAATTACGGGGAGCACAACAGAAATGCTCCATGGACTTCTGAATGGTCAAAGTAGGCCACTGGCGTAAAATGACTCAGGTCAATATTTTGTTCAGGGACATACCCTCCAGCGTAATCCCTGACGCTTATTCAAATTACAAAATAGAAACAATCTCCTTGGTTTTTGGAAACCCTGACCTTCTAAAGGTAAGAATGGTCACTGACCTTAGATGAAAAGCAATGGCCTTTTGCTTAAATCATGTATCTAGGTTGAAGACGGTTGCATGCGGAAATCTGGGGGCATTTTGGACAAACTTCTGGACTTTGGCCTTGTATGACCGTATTTGAACCTCAGGTAATGGCCAAGCAGCCTCAAATTTTGATACAGCTGAGCTAACATGCAGATCAAGCCGTGCTCGGAATTTGTTGTCTCTTGATTTTTGAGATCTCAGGGGGTCAAATTACTCCCCCCCCCCTCACTCAAATGGAGGGTATTCAACCGGCCACCCGAGCGCGTGTTAAATCCAAGAGTCCGCCCTACCCACGTGACATGAGTCTGAGCCCTGTTTCTAGGATGGTGAGCGGACTTAGGTCTTTCACTTGCATTGCACGAATCCATGCCAAGCGCCCATAGAAACTTGAGTTTGAACCCAAGTCGAATTTCGAAGATCGCTACATCAGTGCAGGATATGATCTTGATGTTTATCATCGGAACTTGACTGATCATAATCGTGATTAGACGAGTTTCGACTACGACTGCTAACGTGGGCTGCCTCCTACGTTCTTTCTATTTCCCCTTACCCTCCACTGTCTACACCCAAAGATGGCAAAGCCGAGAGTTTTACTCCTTTTACTTTGCTTTTCGCAGAACAATCAGGCGGCAAGGTGACCCATGGTAATATGCATGTATATATATACATATATATATATATATATATATATATATATATATATATATATATATATATATCACTGTTGTTCTCATGTTGTGCTGCAGTCCATCATTGCCGTCTTAGGCTGTACAGACTGTGTATAGTGTGCCAGACATAAAGATTATAAGAGACACAGTTTTTGAGACAAAGGTTATAACTGGCCGTAAGCTAGCCTGACGTGGTCAAACACATACAATGTTTACAGCCACCCTCTTTTCCCGCTATTGTATTTCCCCCGCGACATGCTTATCCCGTAGAATATTTGTCCTGCTGGGTATGTCGTGTTGTTGAAAATTAATATCAAATGTTGTGAAATCATAGGATTAACGACCGCAAACACTAATATTGTCAACGTGCAATCTTCGACCAAATGACCCGCCCGTTGTTATTGCATATTTGCGACATGTGATTTCAAATCTGAACGTTCATGTATGGTTACGACATTTACGTTGTGCGATCTCCATCTTGTAACATGCTGTTCATTCGGCCTGCATCGTCCCATGTCACATTCCTGGATGATCTTGCTGATATTCCTTACGTGCCCCCGGGGGCTGTCATATACGTACGCCTCCGCCCGCACCTGCTCAGCTCTAACCCCATCATATTTTACAGAGAATTAACCGCATCAAATTTATAGTTTTTCGTATGAACACAAAAACAAAGTGAATTCAATTTAAAGTGAATCCATATTTGGTCAAATATTGGTATTTTCCTCACTTGGATTTCGTTTTATGGAAATCCTTGATTCGTGGTATTTCCATCCGAGACCGAGCCCCAGATTTTCAGAAATTTTTGGCGAGAGTTGGGTAACCAGTTATTTGACATTCGGGGCAAGTCTCAACCCGAGACCATCACTGTTTTGTATTGATAACTCCAGATTGAGGTAGGTATTGTCTTGGTACACAGCAAAACTTGGTACCCAGCCCGATTCACCAGTAAAACGAACTGTTTCACCGATATCTGGAACCCAACAGGTCATGAGTGGCACTGATTCCTAGCACTGGTCGTACTGTACATTCAGCTAGTGGCTACTCAGGTCTAGGACTCAATTATGTGCCGCAAGCAATGACACATTTTCTAAAAATCGTGCGTTTCCCTGCACTTGGCTTTTTAAATTTTTATCTAAAAAAGATAGAAATCCTTTATGGGCAGTGATGCTGCTCAATGCTACCAAATCCCATCGTCGTGGGCAGTGACGATATCTGTGTTGTGATGATGGTGGGTTGAGGGTGTAGCCGTACCATAAAAGGGCGAGGCGCAATTGGTTGTTGGAAAGGTTGACGTTGTCACTCTGCTCTCTGAGGAAGGAGGAGAAGCTGGACATGACGGCCTCTTCAGATTCTTTTTTGGTCATCGAGCCTGCGCAATTGCGGTTTAAAGGTAAGACTGCGCCAGGTTTGCCTGTTGCTCATGTGCCGGACAGTTGCCGGTTTTTTTTTGCCTGCATTTATGAAGAATAAGCGTAGCTAGGTGTGTTTGCCTCCAAAAAGCTTAAGGCTACTGAAATCCATATGGAAAGAAACAAGTCTTCACTTTCAGTATGCTCTACTTCAAGCCTGAAAGACATAATGAATGAAAATAGCTCTTGCCGTGCCTAGGCATCCACAATGAAAGACTGCGAGAAATCATCATATTTAAGGGGACACTGGCATCAGTTGTGCACACTGCAGCAAGTATATCTGAAATTTGTCACTTTCAAATTGTTTAAGATCTGAACATGCCTGGTTGGCTCTTCTCCTGACAACTTAGCACTAAATTCTCAACATCAAGTGTGGTGGAATAGGAAATAAAATGGAGTGAATATGGCTCCTATTTTGGAAGACAATGCAGCTAAATCTGCATGTTTGGAACTGTTGACAACTGCAGTATAAAAGTATACCAGTGAGAAGTGTAAGTAATGGCAAGCATGATAAAGTGCAGACCTACACTTACCCTTTTAGGAAGTACATGTAACAATAAGATAGGCTGGGGAGAGGGTTTTTTAGTATAAAAAATTTCTTCACAAGTTCACCATGCATCAGGTGGCCTGAAAAGTGCTTCCAGAAACCAGACTGCAGAAATGCATGTTACTCTGAACATCATTAGCATGGAGGCAACACTTCAACAACAGTTTCAGTGCATGCTTATGAAAGATCTAAGTGTCCCTAGTTCATGTACATTTGCCACACATTTTAGCACATAGAGAACCAGTGTTTCCAGGAATTGTATTATATTGCTAAATTCCAACATGTAACACACACAATTGAATCAAGCAAAGATTATGTGAAATTTCACTGGAATTCAAATTTCAATAAAGGAAAGAGAAAAATCTCTGATGGATGCCAAGGTAGGCTTAATGTCTTTTTGAATGTTAACAACTCAGTCTATCTGTTCTTGCAAGAGCAATTGCAATGAAACATTTTCTTGTGGAAGATAGATTACAGTCCTGACTGTGATCATTTTTGCAATTTTTTATGATTGGATAAGAAGTTTGATTAAAGCAGCAAGTCAGCACATGTTATGTGCTAAATTTCACAGATCCCACATCATCATGTAACATTTTGGAAAAGCCATGTGATTGGATGCTTCAGGGTTTCTTTCCCAATGCCCAGCCATGGGCAGCACCACCACCTGCCAGGGTGCCATCAACTGGTGTATGGAAATGGTCTCCAAAAGCTACTGGTTGAATGTGAGATTGCCTTGGCTTGTAGGATTACACACAAGGCCACAAAAATTGAAGAAAAAAATTTGGTATGGGAAACCAGAGCCAGTTGGTAAGAGAACAGAATCATCCCGTAAAGTCAGTCACTGGTAAGAATAATGTTAGAACTAACTTCCTCACATCTCATACCATTAGACTACCATTACCATTACCATTACATACCATTAGACCATGCCTTTAGGGTATATAAGCTCCCAGATGATCAGACCATAGGACTGGTAAATTGACTATATGCTGCAAGGAAGAAAACAGCAGAAAATAGCTCAATAAACAATCCCCAAACTAGATTTCAGTCTGGATTATAATATCATGATTACGGCTATGCCTCATCCAATATATAATCCAAGTCTAAAGTTCAGCTGTATTGTGTGTCCATGCATGACCATCAGGGAATTATTGTGATTGGCATTATGTTGTCCCACAGCCAAGACAGCAGACTTAAGCTTTCCCACTAGACAAACATTTTGCTTTCATTCTTGCCTTTGTAGTGTGTTTGTTGTGAAAGTCCCTTTGTTTGCTCCCATGTGGGCCCCACTTGCCTCTGGGATCATATACTGAGTCCTGTCTGCCAACTGCATAGCTTTCTAGTTCTGTGGCAAATCAGCCACACCAGCTGTTTGCCACTCAGGCCCAATCTCCCCTGTTGCATCCCATCATATCCAGATCATTGTTTTGTCATGATCATGGGTTGTTGAATGGACATTGTTTGCCCCTGAGGAGGCATGGCTATTGGAGGTTGGCGAGACCTCTGTCACATAAGTTTGTTGTATTGAGCAGTTGATGAGTTCTGGCGTTTCAGGACCCTTCAAAGATGAAGTATCAAGCAGCAGTCTGAAAATTACAAACCACTCTGACAAAGCGATAACATTCAAGATAAAGACCACGGCACCGAAGCGATACTGCGTGAGGCCCAACCAAGGGATTCTGAACCCAGGAGCCTCCACCAATATTGCAGGTGAGGCGGAGCGTGACTCGTCACTGGGCTTCCACCGCGTGCGACGCTATTCGAAGTGTGTGCTGGGACCGATTGGCGCAGTTGCGGGTACGGGGCGTGTGTTTCGAGTACTGGTGTAAAGTGCGTTTTCGAATGTTCCGCGAGCGGTCAGCGGTGACTGGTGCCGGTGGCCCAGCTGTACCGTTCGCAGCGCAAGTCCACAGTTCGCGCGGAGTCCCACAAGCGGGGTTCGAATAGTCCGCGTGATGATCCAGCCGTCGGCCCATCGCCCGGATTTGGCAGTCGCGTCTCGAATCGCTAGCCTTGCCATGTGTTTGCGGGTCTTATGATACTGCGATATGTTTGGGATGCAAGTTGCAAGTATAAGTGCTCAAAATGTTTGATAAACTTTTAATTTTGGTGAATGGTTAACTAGAAGAGCGTTACTATTCGTGCACAAGCTCCAGATAGCCTTGTGGGCCAGCCAACTGTTGCCAGCCAACTGTATGTCAGCCCACCGTTAACCCTGGTAGCCAGTTATGTTATCTATGATTTAAGACGTCCTTTAGAAGGTCACGTATGACTTACTAGTGCTGAATCGTCACTCCCGCGAAGTTGCCATGATCTAGAAGGTCACATATGAATTATGGTGCTGAATCGCCACTCCCGCGAAGTTGCCACGATCGCTTCCGCCCCAGATAACCGAACTGAACGTCGGGGTGTCGCCGTTGCGCGCGTCACTCATTGCATGGTGTGGTTCGTCTCGGTCATGTGGGTGCCGTGACTGGTCTAGTCTGCTGTCTGAATTCCGTGGCAGCACTCGCTGTGGTCTTGTGCTGTTCGGCGACCGCGCGCCGCGTCAGTATGCGGGCCAGTCGTGCTGCTGGGCAGGTTTTCTGGTGTTTTTGTTTCACTGACGCACAGTGGAACGGAACGGGTTCGATTTCACCCGTCACGCAAGCGCTGTTTTCGCGATGCAGTGAGTGACAGTGGCGCCGTATGTCCGCAGTGATGCAGTGACAGTGGCGCTGTATGTCCGCAGTGATGCAGTGACAGTGGCGCTGTATGTCCGCAGTGATGCAGCGACAGCGGCGCCGTATGTCCGCGGTGATGCAGTGAGTGACAGTGGCGCTGTATGTCCGCAGTGATGCAGTGACAGTGGCGCCGTATGTCCGCAGTGATGCAGTGACAGCGGCGCCGTATGTCCGCAGTGATGCAGTGGGTGACAGGGCCGCCGTATGTGCGCAGTGATGCAGTGACAGCGGCGCCGTACATCCGCAGTGATGCAGCGAGTGACAGCGGCGCCGTATGTCCGCAGTGATGCAGTGGCAGTGGCGCCGTACGTCCGCAGTGATGCAGTGAGTGACAGGGCCGCCGTATGCCCGCAGTGATGCTGCAGCCGTTCACCTACGACCCAGCCGAGAAGAACAAGCACAAGTTCATGGTGCAGACCATGTTCCTGCCCGAGGGGGAGCACTCCGACCTGGAGACGCTGGTGAGGCCGGAGTCACGCTGGCGGCGGCTCGGTCGCGCCCTCACCCCACCCGCACCGTCCGTTGAGTCCCTTAATTGGAGCACTTAGCCTCCGTTCGGCGTCGCGTGACGCAGGGGATCGGTAACACTAGACGTGCCGCACGTTCTCAGCCGCTCCGGCACCGGGAGAGTGCGAGACGGCACGGCAGGGAGTTCGCGATGCGGCGCTCCGTAGCGGGCGGGCGGCCTTTTCCCATGTGGAGCAGTTCTCACACGGTAACGCAGCGAGTTGCGCAGGGACGTTGCTGAACAGATATGGCTTGGTGTCGAGTGGAAAACGGATCGCGCGGTCCGTCGGGATACGCGAGGTTGTATCATTCGACAGGAGCTGGCTGGTCGTGGTGGTAGCGACACTGACAAGGACTTCCCATCATCGCGAAGGTCCTCCATGCCGGCACCGCGTGTTGTCTCCGCGCCTGCGCGTAACGCTGTCGTAATTGCAGGCGTCCGCACCGCGACAACGACGCCGCCAGCGTCGTGGTCGCGGGTGGACGGTCACTGGCTTGTGAGGGCGGCTTCACCGTCCGCCGACGCCCCCGCCCGACCTCCGCACGGAGCGGCGACGACCCGGCCCGGCCCGCTCCCATCGCTGATTGATCGCGATTGATTGGGTCTCGTGGTGGCGATCGACGACCACGCCCTGCCGGCGTCAGGGTCGCACCCGTTCCCCGGTGCCCCCACAACGCGCCCGCATGCTGTAGGCCAGTATGGCGTGGCGTGGTCCTGTACCCTCCGCCCCGGTCCGGTACCCTTCGTACCTTGCACTTCATTTCTTTGTACCTGCGTTCACGTACACCGTTTTAAAGCCTCACCCGTTTGGAAACCGCGGCCTGAGCGTGTGTCTTACCCGCGTCTCGTTGCAGTGGAAGAATGCCAGTCCCGAACAAGTGATGACGTCCAACAAGATGCGCTGTGTTTTTGAGCAGCCGGCGGATGTTCCCGAGGAGTCCCCTCTCAGGGTAAGCGGCCAGACTGGTGGTGGTCCCCGCTCAGGGTAGGTGGTTAGACCGGTGGTGGTCCCCTCTCAGGGTAGGTGGACAGACCGGTGGTGGTCCCCTGTTAGGGTAGGTGGACAGACCGGTGGTGGTCCCCTGTTAGGGTAGGTGGCCAGACCAGTGGTGGTCCCCTTTCAGGGTAGGTGGACAGACCGGTGATGGTCCCCTCTCGGGGTAGCTGGTCAGTGACACAGTCACCTCGATTGTCGATGTATCCTCGGCGTCTAGTTGTCGCGCTATTGATTACAGTTTGGGGCTCGTGGATCACTGGCGGCTGTGGTGCGGCTGGCCGCCTGCCAGTGCGGCGTGACCGGCCCGTCCCCTCCCCTTCTGCCCGCCCTGCCCCGCTGTGGTCCAACCGCGGGTCTCCCAGCCCCGTATGTCCGGGGATCTGTCGCTGACCACCGCTGCCGGCGTTTCAGCCTCCTGAACCAGGCGACATCAAGAAGGTGACCGAGGAGGTCAAACACCTGCGTGAAGAGATCAGCAGCGTGATGTCGGAGAATCAGCAGCTCATGGTAACCACTGTGCCAGGGCTGCTAGTGCAGCATGCTGGTGACATCAGGACCGCACTGCCGGTGGCTCGAGCGTGCCCGTTTTATGGGGAGGGGTTTTGTGCTCCACCCTCACCTTGGGCCGTGGAAATGTGATGATGCGGCGCGGAGTGTGTGACCCATCATTTGAGCTGCAGTCCAGCTTGTACGACTTCATACGTTGTGGAGAGTTCGATGCCTCGGTCTGCCGCCGACCCCACCAGTTCACTCCATTAAATGAGAGCTGCACTTCCCTTTGGCCAGTGCCGATGGCCGCCCGGCCTGCGCGCTCCACCAGTCCGTGTGAGACCCACCCTACTCGTCCCCCTGCGGACTGTCGCATGCCATGACGCGTCTGCTGCGGGCAGCTGCCACGTCTGTGGGAGCTGCCAGCGCGCTGGATGTACCGTGTGGGGGGGGGGGGGGGGGGCGGTCGGTCGGTCGGTCGGTCGGTTGGTTGGCCTGGTGCTTTTAGTCACGCACGACCTGTACTGTGACCTTGATGTTGACGAGGCTTTGAGAACAACCCAATTGTGGATTGACCCGATTACGTGTGATACTGCGTGGGGCGGCCGGGCGGCTCTGACCGGGCGCCGTCGCTCCGTCCGGCAGGAGGAGGCCACGCGGTTGCGGCGCCAGCTGGCGAGCGGGGACGTGGCGAGCGTGGCGCCGCTGCCGCCGACCACCGCGCCGGCCGACCCCATGATGTACTACGTGCTGGCGCTGGTGCTGCTCTGCTGCGGTGTGCTGATCGGCCGCGTGGTCATGTAGCCGCCGGCCGAGGCGGTCCGGTCCCAGCACCGGCCCCAGCAGCGGCCGAGGTCGGACGCCCGCCGTGAAAGGCGCGCGCTCCGGCCCGGCAGCGGGGTTTCAGTTCGGTCCGCCGCCCGGCCCGGCGGCGGACGCTGTCGGCGGCGCGCGCTTGCTCGACGTGCGCCCCACCGGGCGCCCCGCCGGTGGGGCGCCGAGCGCGGACGCTAGTCTGGCCCAGAGGCGCTGGCCCGGCGCGCTGGCCGCTCCCTGTCCGCCCCCAGCGCCGCCCCTTCTCTCCCTCCAAGTCTGCCCCGAGTGCGGCGCCGCCCGGCGCGCTGTACATACCGTTTGAGTTGCGAGCGGAGTGCCGTGTGTGCCGTCTCAGACGCCCGGCGTGGCGTCGGCGGCCGACGCGCCGGCGTGTGCCGGCGGAGTTGGCGGTAATACACGGCAGGCTCGGGCGGTGGCGTGTATTGGGGCGGCGGCGCTACTCAGCGACAGCAAGCGGGGGTTATCACAGTCTGAAGGTGCCGCTGGACGAGGTGATGCCGTTGTAGATGAAGGTGTTGTCGATGGGCGCGTACTGGCCGGTCACCAGCTTGATCACCTCGTGCGCCGCGCAGCCGCCTGCGGCGACGGCGGCGTCACGTCAGACAGGCTGATCGAGCCTAGGAGCAAGCCGCCCCGACCCTAGACACAGACAGAGATTGCGATCTTTGATGCTTCACTGCAGCCGAGCCCGCAAACTCAGATGTCATGGTCCGCAGTCAGCGACCCCAGTGACTGAGGCCGTAAACAGGTGCGTAAGTGGAAGTCACAGACAGGTTTCCGGAAGTCGGAGACCGGCCTTCGCGCCCAGTGGGCGCTGAGTACAGACTCGGCCGGCCAACGATGCCGTGGCGGCCGCCGCCCGCCCGTCCGGTGACTCCGTGACGACCCTGTGACCTACCGATGAAGGCGGCCACAGTGTGCAGCTCCGAACCGCCGTACCGGCAGAACTCCTGCACGTAGTCGTCCTTGACCGTGTTCTGGCAGCCCCAGTCGGCCAGGAGCCGGCTCAGGCACGCCTGCGGCAGCGGTCAGAAGGGCCGTGTGCGGCCGACACGGACGAGCCGACCATGGCACACCGACCGTCCGAACGGCCGCCGGGCCGCGCACAGGCAGGGGGAGGGGGGGGGGACGCCGGGCAGCGGCGCTGGCCACCGCACCGAGCTCGACGAGGCGGCTCGGGGCCGGCGCCACACCCGATCCTCGCCGGTCGGTGTCCGCCCGCCGTCGTCGCCACCGCTCGGGTCACTGCCGACTCGACCGTGCCGTGCTGCGCGTACGACACCGCGGCTGAGACGGACACACAGGGACGGACCGGCGGAGCGGCCTGGTGAAACCACCTGCCACAGAACAGGCCCACCAACGCGCTCGGCGCTCGACACAAGCCACGGCACGAGGTCGTGCCCACAGCGGCGCCGAGCTGGCCCCTGCCGCCTCCCGGCCGCGCCGCCGACTGACCTTGAGCTTGACCACGTCAGCCTCCACCTGGCCGTCCTCGGAGCCGGGCGCCGTGCTGTACTCGGCCCAGAAGCGGTCGGCCGCGCGCAGCATGGCGTACAGTGCCAGCTGGCCGTCCGGGTTCTGCAGGTGCAGCGCTGCCGGCGACCGGGTCACCCGTCTAGCGACGTCGCACGCGTCCGCCGGCGTCACACAGACGACGCCGCTGCGGCGGTGCTGGCATGACGTATGTGATGCATGGCATGGCATATGTGATGAGTGCACGTGTAGAAAATGACCTCGTGTGAGTACGCCAAAGAGGATCTACTCTGGAATGGAATGGAATGGAATAGAATGAAAATTGATGGAATGGGCCGACCAAGAGTGGTTGCATTTTATTGATCTGCAAACGGGCAGACAACACTGACCCGGAAAGTGGCCTTTCAACATAAACAAAGCCCAAATAACTGAAACACTACAACGCTTGCGAGATCTTTTCGGAAGTAGCACGACATAATAAAGGCACCACTACCATGTGCTCGCCTCCAAAGTCGTCCAACTGAGGCCGCGGCCTTGCAGAATGTTTGCGGAGCAACGCCGAATCACGTCACGCACCGGAAGATACCAAGTTTTTTTTAAAGTAGCATGCTACATCTTTTTTACGTCATCTTTTACGCCTTGAAACCGCTTTGTTTTCGGTGAGCATAGTCTATAAGCCATCTGGCATAATTCAACAATTACAGTTTCGGGGACGCTTAGACGCATCCCAGCTACAACGCCGCAATGCTTTGTTCTTTGCTTATATCTGGATATCAATCACCGCATCGGTTATCGCCCACACGAGCTATACTAAGTTTTGGACTAGGGAGCGCATACGATCCGGAAGGGTTATTTTCCGTTAATTTTCTTGGAAGGGAAAACCAACTGAGACGGCTGGGTGGGACGGACATTGGGCGGCGCGTCCGTACTGAGAGACTTGTTCGAAACGGCCCGAACGTTTGCGGCAAGGTCGACAGCCATACTTGGTCATGCACGAAACATCTGGGCTTCACTCATTTAAGCGCAAACAAGACGAAAAAGGCCGCAACAATATCGCGTCGGGGGACGAACTTGAATCCTGGTACGTCATGCGACGAATGGTGGCCGTCCGAAAAATAGTGATGCTATTTAGGCCTATTAAGCATTTTCGCGCCTACATGGGCATTCACGTGCTATGTGTACGATCAAGTATGATTCCGCTCAAAGAAGGGTTAGAGCTCATTCCAGGTCCCGACTGGAGGTACCCGGTGGTTGCCGCTGGAGGTACCAAACCAGACAGAGCTCACAGACTTCGAGCTCAGAGGCGCGGAGGCGGGGGCGTACATGGCATCGTTATAATATCAATATCGGCTCTCTGTTCTCTGTCCTGCTTCCATTTGGAGGCAGGGGTGCCACTTTCTTAAGTCGATTGAAGGGGGGATGTACTGAACCCACACGGTTGACCTAACCAACTCCCAAATCCCGATTTCTCCTCGGATTGCGTCCCTGATATGAATTACAAGTAATTTGGTCGACTCCGACATTGCACCGATGTTGATGAATGACATCTCATTTGAAGCCGATAGACTGTGATAACGATAATATTGGTAGTGATGTGCTCAGGTACCTAGCGTAGCACCAGTTCATACACCTCCTGCATTTCATTCGCCTATTACTTCTTTTTTGGTCATTGTGCATGGGGGAGGGGGCAGGTCAGCATTGGGAAAGGGGGCTCAGGCCACCCCAAAAGTATACAAAGGGGTCTCTGCTGCTCTCAGGTCTCTGTGCCAGAGCTCCGACCGTATTAAATGTCTGCGAACGCCACCATGCGGTCATGTCAAACGGCTGGGTCCAGCTACAACGTGGTCTGACTGCTGTGTGACAGCAGCCAGGGTGGTGGCACGTCTCCCATCGCCGGCACCCTGCTCCGCCACGTACCCGTCTCGTTGGCCGGAATCCGCATCTGGCGGAGCTCCTCCTGCACGGAGGTGCCCTGGAAGACGCGCAGGGCGTGCGTGTTGCGGCAGAACTGGCGCACTTGCTCCTCGCTGATGACGTCAGAGGGTCTGCCGAGGCTCTCGAGCAGGAGCTGCACGCGCCGGTACACGAGCTCGGCGCCGCGCCGCGCCTCCTCCCTGTATCTGGAGCACGGCCACATTCCCTCTGTTGTCGGCTGGTAGGCTTTGCAGTCAGCGTGGCCCCGCCCGCGGTCCGCCAACGCCAAGGCCCGGCGGTTCACACTGGCTGTCATGGTGTGCGCTGACTCCACCGAGCCGTGGCCCAGACCCGCCCCTGGGGCACCCACTCACACCTGCTCAACTCCGAGGCGTCCACAGCGGTTTTTGCGGCTCCCATACGGCCGCCGTAAGCGTTAATGGTCGTCGTCCATGCCACGAGACGGTAGCGACCCTAGCGGTGATCATCAGTACTTCACATGTTTACGTAAGGGAACGCTGGCAGTCAAAGACAAAGTTCCGGGGACGCAGAGCATGACGACAGAACAACCAACCCCAGGTCGTCCCAATCGCCGGGGTCATATATTGACAGGCAAAACTAAATGTACGAGCGATCCAAAGACTGCCATGGATAAACATCCGGTTCAACAGAGAGCAAGTGTTAAGCTGTACACAGCGCTGCTATAATGAGCTCAGATGTCCTGCAACGCACACCGCGCCGTCGCTTCACCCCGGTGCCGTGGCTCACATGTTCTGCAGCTGGATGTAGCGGTCCGAGTCGGAGAACATGTCCGGGATGGGCCCGCGCACCGGCAGCTGTCCGTCACCCTCGCTCTGCACATACTCCTGCAGGGCGCGCGCCAGCACCCAGAAGTCGTCACTCTGTCGGCCGGCGGAGAGGCGTTACCCCCTCACGGTCCGACCACCCAGCAGAACGCCGTGGGAAATCCGCCGCCCAAGAAGGGCGAGGGCGACGCCGTCTTCGTGGGGACGGATGGCAACAGCATGAGTGCCCAGGCAATGTCACCGTTCACTCCCGCAGCTCATCAGCGACACCGCAATGTATCGTGGCACGACTGATTACGGTATAGATCACCCTGGCAGTCACGCCACACCGCCTTTCCGGCCCTGAGCAGCGCTCCGCGACCTCGGTGCCCCTCCCCCTCCCCCCCCGCTCCGTGCCCGGCCGGCCAGCTAACGTCACCATCCACTCCGCCTGCCCCTACGGCCGCTTGATGTTGCTGTCTACCCCGTCCCGCCGCCGCCCTTCCCCAGCCGACCGGCCAGCTGACGTCGCCGTCTACCTTGGCCGTCAGACTGTTGCACTGAGCGCTGCTGAAGAGGGCGGTCACGCTGTCTGGCACGCCCGGCTCCACCAGCGCCGTGTTCACGGCCCGCTCCGCCTCGTCAAAGTTCTCCTCCAGCTCCGGCGTGCCCTCCGGCGTCCGCAGCCGCACTGGAACGATACACCGGCTCACACCGACGGCAGGCTGAGCCCACCATAATCACCTGGCGAGGAGCGAGGGCGATCGGTTCTTCCATAGGGAGCACCGTGAATGTCGCACGAGGTAGGCAGCTCTGCCAAGCCAGAAATCTATCCTGACGCTCCCCGCCCGCTGGATTGTGAGCTGGTTCAGCAGAGTACAGGTTCTCCCAAATGGAGCACAGCCTCCCCCTCCCCCATTCGACACCCATTCCCGCGATGTTCATCCTCCCCGGCTGGCAGCGCCACCTACGCTCGTTGAGGGTGTCGCGGAAGGCCTTCTTCTCGCGGTACGTGCGCGGTGGCGCGCCGTCGTGCGCCGCCCGCCAGCGCTGCAGCGCCGCGTGCAGCAGCACCAGGTAGGGCGTGTGGCCGTGCGCGCGCCGCTCCATTGTGGTCAGGTCCTGCGCCTCGAGGAAGGCGGCCAGCGCCGGGAAGGGCCGCAGCAGGCGCAGGTCTGGCACCTCGTTGTCCGGGTGTGACTCGACCACCAGGTGCTCGCGCACCTGCGCAGCGGGCCGGGCCGGACCCGACCGGGCGCACGCGGTCAGGCAGCGACGGGTACAGCGCAGCGGAACAGCCGCCCGTGCTGAGGCACGATCCATGGCTGAACGTAACGTGATCAGTACACCACTGGAAGACTGCTGATCTACCTTTGCCGGCGAAATATTTCCGCATGATGCAACCTTTTTCAACAGGTATGCCGATTACATGTAAATATAATACAACTGATACTACAACTTATATGCATGATTTCGCGATGAAATGTGCATACCTAGCATGCTAAAACCATTTCAACCGAAGTGCAGACCTGAACCTTTTGCTAGCAGTTTACCCATAGCACGCCACTGGGACGGACAATGGCGGAGCGGCGTCCCGCCACGCGCATGTTCCGTTTCTCACCCGCCAGATGTGGGGCGCGCCGCGCGCTCACCTGCAGCCGCATGCAGCCGACCAGACCGTAGCTTTGGCACACCAGCAGCGGAGTATTGTGAGACCAGAGCAGGCCGGACAGGCGGGACAGCAACCTGCAGATCAGCACCGAGGTGAGCTCTCGAGATCGCCGCGTAGGTGGCGGCACGCTGGCCGGCCAGGTGCCAGCACAAGTGGGCGCGTGTCACGTGTTAGCTGTAGAAGGGACCAAGGGCCTTCAAAACTCAGCTACAGAGACGAGACGAGTTCGATCTGTTTCTAACAGTTCTGCAGTGGCATTTAAACAAATCGGAATAGTCCAGCGTATGGTGAACTTAATTTGATTACTTGTATCTAGATGTGGTCGTTCCAGCAGCTTTTCCACACGGAATATCACCGGCATTTCGAAACCGTGCCACATAGTCACAAGCAACGTGATCTCCCACGCTGACCACAGCGGTACTTCCAAACCCGCTGGGTATCAGGTTCAAAGTCTCCGACCTTTCCATCCACGAGCCCAGCAACGTACAGCCGGGGTCTGGTCCCGCACTGACTTACGACCCAAGCCTCACCCACTGAGCCACCCCAAGAAATCAAATGGCAATCATAGATAAATCAAATCACAACTCACAGATGCACGCCAATGAAGAACGCCATTTACGCCAAATACGGGCGCAAGTAGGACCAGCTGATGCAACCGCGTGTAGACATAGCGCGCAGGCATGGCGTACTTGGATGTTATTCAGATGAATAGCTATTGGCAAGTTCTGTGGCTGACTACACGATTGTCGATCATACCGTCCACGTGAGATCGAGACCTGCCTATTTGCCGGAGATATAACACCAAAAACACACCAAATGTTGCTGGGCGTTGCTAAGTCACCAGCGACGACTGAATGTAAGCAAACACTCTTACTTCGCCACCCGACCGAGCAGGGAATGGGCTTGGTTCGTAACGTCTCGGGTAAGGAATGGGCTTGCCTCGAAGCACGAAATAGGCTCCCACTGGGCAATGAAGAACGGAGCTCGGGCAGCCGTGCGCCAAGCTGCTGCTGCCCGAGAGGTCGTGACCACGCCTCAGCAGACAATCACGCCCCAGCCAAAATGAAGGCAACACACATCCCTCGGCCACCTCGGTGAGAGCACCCACACCTCTGCCAGGTGGGAGGTAGCAGTCATGCCTCAAGCCGCAACCACGTCGGCGGCAGCACTCAAACACCCAGCCACGTGGGTGACCACACCCAGGGCTCACCCACGCCTCTGCGGGACCCGGGCCGACGCTCTCGCCTCCGCCGGGCCAGCGGCCGCACTCACGCCTCGGTCAGACCGGTGGCGATGACCACCCCGAAGCCCAGCAGCCGGTCGGGCTCGGTGTCCAGCAGCTGGTGCAGCGGCTGCGGCAGGTGCTGCCCGCGCACGTCCGGGTTCAGCTCGAGCAGCAGCCGACAGGCGGCGCGGCCGCGACACTCGCCCGCGCAGCCCGATGGCAGGAAGAAACTGCCAGCCACAGGCTTGCTGGCTCAGCTTTGCATGGAGGATATGGCATACATGCACAAGGCTTGAATGTGTTTGATCAAGATCAAAACATGGTAATGTTCATTTGTTTGACAATAATAATGCAACGATTGCATAAGCAAATTATTGAGTTTCATGCAAACATATGGTTTGGTGTGTGGGCATGCTTTCAAAGAACAGACAATGATTTGCTGTGATTTTTGTCACACTTAGAGGATGTATATAGGATGATAAGAACCTGCAGCACGAATATATGCTGTACAACACCATGGTCCTGAGCTTGCAATTTCAAACTGCATGTAATAGCAGGCTGACAGTCAGCATCACCCACTTGTTGCCAATGTCCTCAGGTGTAGTAATCTTGTCATCTATAATGGTGAAGGAGCCGAGACCCGCTAACACCAGTGATTTGAGTGCCTCTGTGCCAGTGGCTGTGGCATTTATCAGACACACAGATGCTGCCTCTAGAGATGCCTGGCCATGATCGCCCCACAACCTGAAACAACACAAAGAGTGAAGTTTTAAAATGATGCAAGATTTGAGCATTACAGGATCAGATACTAATCAGACAGGCATGAGGCAGGACTGGCAGGCATCAGACCACTAGATCTGCAACAAGTTGGGACCATTGCAATCAGAGTGTGAAAATTGGTTGTTGGTCTTGGGGAGGACAATGCATAAAATATTAATGCTGTAATGATAGACAGTCCAGCCAAAAGGATTGCATGCGTACAAACTGTCCTACAAGACCATTCTTTAACAGGATAAAAATAACATGGGCTATCATTCTTGCAGAACAGCATTATTTTCACTAGTCAAAAGAGCATTAGTAGCAGGCACTTGCTGTGAGTTCAGTGCTCACTGAAGAAACATTATCTTCAACTATTTGCATGGTTCAAAACTGGTAGAGCATAAAGAAAATAAAACTTGGTGTTCTTCACAAAATCTTTGCGGTTGTTTCAATATCACAGGACTGAAAAAATATCGAGAAACTTCCAGGTTCAAATGATGAGATATGATTATCATCTCAGAGGATAAGTTCACTGACTAAGCTAACTGCAAAAAACAAGCAGAGGAGTAACCAAAAACTTGGCATGAAAATAAAAATTAGGTGCACCTCAGTGTTAAATACACCAATATACAGGAAACTCAAAGCTATTTAATGGTAGGGTGATGAGTTATTACATAGCTAAAATCAATGCAACACCCAGTCAAGAAATTCCAAACAATGAACAAAATGATATAATTATAAACATTGAAAATAAATATGACCTCACAATTGAGCACATCTGCAAAACGCAAGACAAAGGCAGCCACAAGTGATGGCATGACAGCGGCAAAAATGATCCTCATGCTTCCTGGATTTATAAGTGCCAACCCAAAACTATTAAGACGTTAAGGAAAACAAGCCCTGAAGTGTTACCTCAGCTGACGATCATACTTCTTGTTCTTCTCTGATATGTCAGGCGATTTGGGATTCGACGCAGGCGATGCAGACATTTCTTCTCAGTAATAGGGGAATAAACCTTATTTTAGGCTCCGTAGACACTACCCAATGTCTGATGAACCTCTCTCTCACACCCTTATCGTGGTTTGATTAGGCTAAGGCTTCGACTTCGGGTTCTCAGCCAACCGGCGCGCGAAAGTCACAAAAGCGCAGGCTTACGTTAAATATGGCAGGTTTTTATCCCTATGGTCACGGTAAAGGCAAAAATGTCGCACCTCCCGCGTCAATGCGCGGGGAGGACGAATGCAAGGCAATGCAATTCAATGCAATGCAAGGCAAAGAGCAGCGGCGGTGTATCCGGGGGGAGGGGGGGGGGGCAGTGTAGACAAGCTGCCCCATCTTTGAGGCGGGGGTAAAGGTATCTGTTTGCGCCCCCCCCCCCCTAATTTCGGGTGGCCCAGAAGGAGCCCTCAGATATGTGGTGGTGCTTGCTCACTGTGTTACCAAAAAAGCAGAGTTGTCATGTCTGACCCGGAAAGGCCTATCTTAAGCTCAGAAGAGAATCATTTCATGTCTGTGAAGGGCCCATCGTAAGCTGGAAATGGCCCAACCCAAGACGCGAACGCACTCATGTCACTTCCAGACGCAGTACAGGCACTTTGCGGTCTAGAAAGGGGTTAACGTAAACTAAAAAGGGGCTTACGTTTCAGGTCGGGAAAAGGGCGATCATAGACCCAGAGAGGGCTCTCTCACGCTGGAAATGGTCGATCATAAATTCAAAAAACGGCTGATATCACGTCAGATAAGGACTCAGAATAGGCTGAGGAACGGAGAACTTTAGGCTCGGGAGCTCGGAAAAGGCCCCTGCCACTTTTTGGGCCTGGAAAGGGCCCATCTATGGTCTTGGGTGGCCCATCATAGTCTGAGAAGACTAGTGGCGGTAACGCCCTTATAGCAGCGCTAGGCGCGGGAAGGGCCCTTTTCTGGTCTGGAAAGGCCCCAATGTAAACTCAAAAGCGCCCGTCTCTGATCAGGAAAGGCCTATCGCAAACTCGGCCGGGGTCCTCCTCAGGTCTGGATGGGGTCCATCGTGAGCATAAAAAGGGTCCTCTCAGGTCTGGAAAGGGAAAAAAGCTCGTGGACTCAAGAGGGACCTTTTTTAATGATGAAATCACGCGTTTTATGCTTAGAAAGTGGGTATCTCAGGTCAGAAAAGGGCCCATATAAACACTTAAGGCCGAGAAGGGCCTTTCGCAGATCACAAAAGCTCCATCTCATACCAGGGGAGAGACCACCGTGTAGGTAGGAAGGTGTGGGGCGGCACACAGCTTGATAAAAGGCTCCTGGTGAAAAAGCACCGCGGAAAATCACCAGATTTAACCCATTCTTTTTCTCGGGGCCGCAGCTTTCTTCATTTGTCAGCATCCTGCCGACGAATGCGTTCGTTGAGGGGCCCAATGGGTTGAACACTAGGGAGACTCCATACCTTTTACGGACAGGGAGCCCCAAAAGAAGAACACTAGGGGGTCATTGCCCTTCCCTGCCACGGGTTTTCTGGGGATTTCTGTTTCAACCCGTCGCCCAGGGTGCTTGCCGGCTTCTATTCTGGAGACACGGTGGCCGTAGCCTCCTGGTGGATCTGGATTTGCCCAAGATAGATGCATCATGCATCGTTCCCCACCCTGCCCCGGAAGGCCCGCAGACCGAAGCAGTGGATCTCGGTTCGACGCAGGAAGGCTCATTGACACCAAAGTATCGATTACCGACACAAAGGGTTCAACAACTGGCAGATGACCCCAGCTCGGTTTATCCGGCCCCTGGCTGAAATGGGGTGGAAGTCCGGGGCCACGTTCGGTACTGGGCCCGTGTGTCACACAGGGGCATTTCAGTCTCACTATGAACAATTTCACTGTCATTCGTCCCATTCTTTTCATTATCAGCGGGCTCGGTCAATTTAAGAGGCTCTCTGACATTTCGGGTCACGTCCCTATTCGGAAAACGGAACCGTTGCTGACTCGAGGCCCTTCCTGACACAGGGTCTCTGTTCGGCGCACTGTGGCTCCCCTTGATTACACAGCGGTCCCTCATTGCCTCAGGGATCCCAATCAATGCAAAGGGTCCTCTGACTGCCAATGGCTGACCCCACGACGGTCCTGACTTCGGAAATGGGCCTTAGGCTGCCACGGGGCAGCTGTTGGAAATTCGCTGTCACGGATCGACTGACAGGCGCTCATTGTCACAAAAAGGCCCCTACCCAACGCAAGAGACCCTGTGATGAACATTTGCGGACCGGGATCACTCGATAGCAGCTTTGGCCAAGTCTTCGGGCCCCTCGTCGGGCCCTTGATCGCCGGTCCCAAGGACCCCTTAGGGCCCGTCTGGACCATAGGGGAGATGTGTGTCTCCAGTGCCACACACACACACACCTCATCTTTTGGGCCCGGGATGGGCCCATGTTCTGTTAAACTTCGAAATGGCACGCGTTAGGTCTGGGGAGTGTCATTTTTCATGCCCAGAAAAGGCACAGGTCAAGACCGAAAGGGGTCAAGTCTTGCTTCTTAGCCCCGAGAACATCCTCTCCCACGCCTGCAAAGACCTGGAAGGATATGATCCTATCTTAGGCCCAGAATGGGGATGGGGATGGGCCCCATCTAAGGCCCGGAATGAGCCATCATTAGTCGGGAGGGGACCCGTGTTGACACACCCACATGCACAACACATCTTTGGCATGGCCGGATTTCCACCAATATTTTGAAGACTTGGTAACATTTGGAAGCTCTGGAATCGGCTTGTGCTTCCGCTACTGGACCAGTAGCGCAGGTAGAGGGGACACGGGGGGCGCGTACCTCCCCCTCCCCTCTAGGTTCCTCGGGACCTACGATTAAGGGGCCAAAAGTTTGGCCGAAGGTCGTATTCAGGGGTCCCGTCCCACAGGGCCGGGCACTTCAGTGCCAATGAAAAGGCCCTGTGCGCTTATATAGGCCGCTGAGTCGATAAGGACCTATATGTCGGTCAGACACCACCAGTAACGCTCGGTCAGCTCCGTGGCGGCATGGGCCTGAGAGGGCCCATTTCCCAAGCAGGTTCAAAGCCGGAACCAGCGATTGACATTGGCTGGGGCCCCACAGCACCTAATGGGGCCCTGTGCTGGCAAAGGGCCCAAGTCAGCTAGAGACAGTGTTCGAGGGGGCCCAAAGAGCCTGGAGGACCCACCGGTTCCGATGATCAAGGGCTCGATTGCAGGATCCAAGGGCACGAAAGGGTGGTCGGAGTCTTATTCAGGGGCCTCGACCTGCTGGGACGGACCCTCACATGACAGTCAAAGAGCCCTTTGCACCGATCAGGGACACCCCGAGTCGATATGGGTCTACATGTCGGTCAGGCACCATCAGTGCCGCATAGTCTCCTCCGTATCGGCATGGGCCTGAGGGCCAATTTCCCAATCAGCTACAAAGCCAGGGCCAGTCATTTACACCGGTCGGTGCCCCTGTGTCTGTCAGAGGAGGCCCACAGCGCCTATTAGAGGGTCCTGTGCCCGCAAGGGGCCCCGAAGAGACAGAGGGCAGTGTTCGACGAGACCCGAAGAGGCGCCCGGGAGGCCTAACAGAACAAACAATCAAAGGCTCGGTTGGAGGGCATGAAGGCCCGAAGGATTGGCTGTTCGTCACATAAAGAGTCGCAGCCCGTAAGATCCCAACCTGAAATATCAGTGAGATGTCTTCTTATACCATTTGAGGACACCTGAGATAATGAGGGTGTCTAAGTCGGTTAGAGGCCACAAACACCGAACAGTCGGGTCCATGTCGTGAGTCGGAGCGGTGTTTAAGGAGGCCCGAAAGGGGGCCGAAGGGTCTCTTGAGACGAAAGATCAAGAGCCTAATTGGAAGACTAAACAGCCAAAGGGCTGGCTATAGGTCACATTAAGGACCTCCCGCTCGTAAGGCCGTGATCTCGAAAGTCAGTTAGAGGGCCTTTTGCACCAATTGGAGACCCCTGGGAGAGCGCATTCCTGTATTTGGGTCAGGTATCACTAACACCGACCAGTCGGCTCCGTGTCGGTCTGAGCTCTGGGGCTCATTTCGTAAGCAGAGGCACGGCCGGGCTTGCGATTTATATTGGTCGGGGCCCCTGCAACAAAGCGGGGCTCCTGTACCGTTCAGGGGTCCGCAGTGCCGAACGAGGTATTGTGTCAACAAGGGGCCTCCAGCCGGTCAGAGAAAGATGTGCTCAACAGGGACGGAGGCGCGACCCCGAATGACAGAGGCCTCTTGCGTTGGTCCTCGCCCTCTGACAATGAAAGGGAGCATGATAGCTTATCATGATTGTCCACACTGAGGCAACGGAAGGGTTCTGTGCCAGGTAGGGCCCCCAGTACCAAACGGTGGGCCCTCGGACCCAGCTCCAGCATGGAGCCCTTTGCGCTGGAGCCCTGTGGGCCCGTTAAGCCAAACTGGGATTTATGTGCCAATTTTTGGACCCCTGCGGCGGTCGGGAATGTTGTTGCGTCAATGAGGGCTACTGCGTCGATCCGCGGTCAGCTGCGGTCTGCGTGGGTCAGAGACCTCCCGAGTCAGGGAGGGGACCAATGTGATGTGATGTATCCCTCTGAGGGCCTCCGGATCGGCCAGGGAATCCCGTCCCGTGTCGGCAGGATGGTGGTTCAAAGACACCGCGCGGTGAGACGGAATAGCCCCTCAGCATTGACCGAGAACAATAATGTGCCCCTAGTGTTCTTCTCGAGGAGGGACTATTCCCGGAAATAGATAAGGGGTCTCATTGGTGTTGAAAATAGTGGGTTAAAGTTTGTTCAAAAGCTAACTAGGCAATCCAGGCTTGACCGAAAACGTTCATTTATCGCAAAATCGACCAGTGAAACAAATTATCAAAAGGTTTGAGCCTGTGCGCCTGCGATCTCGGAAGCAAGAACAGCGATAGCATGGGTTGCAGTTTCCGTAAAACCGAACGGCGTTGGCAACCGCAAGTAACGCCAGGCGCCAGGTTCCGTGTGCGCGAGGACGACTGTCGTGGCATGGTGCTTCCGAATATCTCAGAAAACTAATTCGTGCCGTTCAAGGGTTAGGCTGGGCGTATCTTTTTTACAACCTTGACGTTCTCCTCTGGTTAGATGAACAGCTACAGCTACACG